CTCTTCTCTGGCTTGTTTAAATCTGTTTATTATTAAACTTTGTTCAAACAATGCAAGCCAAGACATATTGACACAGTGCAGTTTGGAAGGCAGATGATAGAAAATGCTGCTGGTCACAGTACTGCCCCCTTCCTTGTTTTGAGATGAAAAGATATTTGTTGGTTTACTGAAGGGCTGGGTTGGATCCTGCTACATCCCTTTTCAAACCGTGGTCTGTCTTGACCTCCTATGGTAGATCGTCTTCAGCCTTCCGACCTCTGCTAAAGTGAAAGTTGTGTTGGGTATGACCAGAGTAATATCTGGTAAAATCTTTCAGTCTCCATTTTGGTACACTAAAGAAAATGAAGAAGAGGTGCCAACTTTAAAATGATGGCACCGCCAGTTATTCCTGGAGTCTACTGTTGATTAAGTCAAAGAAGCAACTTACTCGAAATGGCAATGCCTAGCTCAGTGCAATATTTGCTGGGGTGCCATAGCAAAGAACACTCTTGCTAGGTCCCGTGTTATACTTTAAGACGAGCCATTTATGGAGGTCTTAAGATGGAAATCCTCTTAAAATCACAAGACGAATTCTGCATATCATAAGAAGGAAATCTTCAAAGATGGTGCAATATATGTAGTAGTAGTAGTAGTAGTAGTAGTAGTAGTAGTAACAACAACAACAACAACAAGAGTAATAATAATTGCACGCCATCAAGTCAATTCTGATTTATCATGGCCCTTTCCAGGGTTTTCTCGGTAGTGAATAAACAGATGCACGCCATCAAGTCAATTCTGATTTATCGTGGCCCTTTCCAGGGTTTTCTCGATAGTGAATAAACAGTAGTTTTATCCTTCCCTTCCTCTAGGGGGCGACCTTGGGACGGCGCAGCTTGCCCAAGGGTACCCAGGCTGGCTCTTCTGCTGGGATATATAGTGGGAGGTAGGCACGCCATCAAGTCAATTCTGATTTATCGTGGCCCTTTCCAGGGTTTTCTCGATAGTGAATAAACAGTAGTTTTATCCTTCCCTTCCTCTAGGGGGCGACCTTGGGACGGCGCAGCTTGCCCAAGGGTACCCAGGCTGGCTCTTCTGTTGGGATATATAGTGGGGGGTGGATCTCCCAACCTCTGGCTCTACAGACAGATAGATATATGACCAAGCTTCCTAGGCAGTTATAATTACACTTTTATCCCATTCCATCTCTGTTGTCTCATCTCAAAGTATTGTCATAAGGACTGGAAACAGATGCTGGTGTGTAGCCCTCAACAGGCACTCTTTGGTTCAGAAACTCCTCTTGTCCAAGCCCTGAAATTTGCATTGTTTGTCATCCTCCAAGGTATTCTTCAAGGCTCATTTGCTGTCCTTCTCCGCAAGGAACAGGGAGGGTCTAGGTAGAAATTGCCAATAATATTTGGTGCATGTATAGATGCCGGGGTTATGATGGATAGCCATTCTGTGTGCGCATGTGCATGCCTTGGGAAAGGATGCTGTTTTCAGCAAGGCAGAGGATGGCATCATCATTCATGACACAAGACGTGTAAATATCATCTGCTGGTAGGCTGATGAAAAAGGAGATGGGTCACCCAAACCCAAGTTGTATGGGATCCAGTATTTGCAATGCAAAAATGCTGGTGGAATTTGGGTTCTGTAATTCCCATATACTGTTCGCTTTTGTTTTATTATTATGCATGCATTTGTACTCTTAAATTTGCTGTTTGTTACCTGAGGTTGCTCCCTACATAAGCATTTAGGAGTATTAAGGATAGCCATGCTGGATCTGACTGAGGGCTTATCCAGTGTACAGGTCAATGTCCGATGTGAATGTCTGCTGGATCCTGCTGCTGCTTCTACCATCAGTGAACTATCCTTCTCCCCAAAAGCCAAGCCCAGGGTGGGGAGGGGATGATGAGCTGGGAAACCATCTGCACCTGGTTTTTGGTTCTCCAGAGTGTCATAATGAGAGGGGGTAGGGAAGAAGCCTTAGCTAGCATTGGCTACCCAAGTACACTGTTGGATCTTTGCCTTCCCCTTTAAAAACAGAAGCCCTGGTCACGTGGAACAATGATGCAAATTCCTTGTCTCTTTGCATATATGTCTTCTTAGTGAGCATCCATGCAATGAACATCCTCTGTTATCCAGACTGTTTAGATGTCTGGCTATATGGGAACTTGTCTTCCTCTCTTTTCCTTGCCTGCGGTTCTCTGCCCCGTGCCCTGCAAAAGTCTTCTGTAGCTGCAGTATGAGGAACCAGGAAGCTAAACCAGAAGGAAGCTTGGCGCATCTTTGAAACCAGCAGTACACCATGAGGATTATGAGCAAACATGCCGTTTTACAGCCACCACCTTTGTATAGCTCCTGTGCCTGGTTTATCTTTGTTTCAGTCACTTTTCCTCCGCTGTTTTGAACATCAAATGCTCACCCAGCGAACGTATGCGTACGCCTCGCCCTTGGCTAATACCAACACATTTTGTTCACAGGTTAAACCCACAAACACATATCAGAGTTGTGAATGAATGAAATGTTGAGAAATCGGCTTGGTTGTCTTGAAAACCGGATATAATCCTCTGATGCAATTACAGCATTTCCTCTTTTGTTCCCTTGCATTGCCATTGATGGATGAGCACCAGATCGCGGCCAAATTATGATGTGTGTCTTTCAAAGAGCGATTGTTGTAACGGTCTTAGCTGAGTCATCCGCCCACAGTGCAAATGTTCCATCTTGAGAACTGCAGAAATGAAACCAATGTTCCCACCTCTGTTTGTTTTGGAAAATGTTGAGAGCTGGGCCTAGATTTCCAGCTTCTTCTCTGCTTTTGGGTAATTTGAGTCCACCTTTTGCCATGCTTTATTCGTATTTATAAGTAGAGATGTGCATTTTGGATTTCTTTTTTGACTATAGATCCCATAATTCTCCTTTCTAAGAGTCTAACCTGCAGGACCTTACAGACATCTAAATTGTGCTCACCTGGAGGCCCATCCGATAGGCCTCATTCCTTGGGTAAAGGCCTAACTTCCTGTTTGAAAAGAAGCTGCCCCAGTCATTGCCAGAAAGCTTCCTTTTCAAACAGAAAGTTAGGTCTATCCAAGGCATGAGGCCTGCCGGATGGGCCTCTCGGTGAGCATAATTTAAGCGCCTGTAAAGTCTGGGCCCTGCAAGTGGGAATCCCAGAAAGGAGAGTTATGGGATTTATTGTCCAAAAAAAATCCAAAATGTATATCCCTATTTATGAATATTTTTATATGACCTCTCAGCCCTGTTGTGGTCAGATTTGTGGAAGGGGAGATGCTGATGGTTGCAAGAAGAATGGAAACCTTCTTCTATATAAGTTTGCTATTTTGAGGTCATTTTCTAGCCTTTCCTCCATGAGGTTTACCAAGATAAATGAGCCTGCTCGGGAATGTATTTCCTTCCTTCTTTGTTTTGCTGGCTGGTAAAAATACATGTTTTGGATGAAGAAGGTTCAGCATCTTTGAACCTGCTGGTAGGACTGGGAAGGCCTCACTCTGAAGTCAGAACACCCGTTCTTTTTATGGGCCATCAAATTGCTTCCAATTTATGATGGCTCTGTAAATTAGTGACCTCCAGAATCCAGTTTGGTTTCTCTCACCTTTCCACTTTTTGCATTTTGGAAAAATGACCTCCAGAATCCAGTTTGGTTTCTCTCCACTTTTTGCATTTTGGAAAAACGGGATGTGGTGGTGCTGCGGGTTAAACCGCTGAAGCCTCTGTGCTGCAAGGTCAGAAGACCAGCAGTCGTAAGATCGAAGCCATGCGATGGAGTGAGCGCCCATCACTTGTCCCAGCTCCTGCCAGCCTAGCATGTAAAGATGCAAAAAATGCGAGTAGATAAATAGGGACCACCTCGGTGGGAAGGTAAACGGCGTTCCATGTCTAGTCACGCTGGCCACGTGACCACGGAAAATTGTCTTCAGACAAACGCTGGCTCTATGGGTTGGAAACGGAGATGAGCACCGCCCCCTGGAGTCGAACACAACTGGACAAATTGTCAAGGGGAACCTTTCCCTTTTTAGACACCCCCCCTCCCCAAATTGAACTGTATCAAAATTCTCACCCATTCCAAGCATGCACAGACAGAACTGTTCTGGGGAAATTCCTTGTCGCTGATTTATTAACCTGCTGCACCCTACCCAACGAAACCTCAATTCAGTATTCCCTTTAATGTTTTGCTTTGCATTCCCTGACACCCTTTTCTAGCCAGAACAGAGAAAAGGCACAAAGCAAGAAACAAAGGTGCCCGTAAATCAGCCTAAGCCTTTAATGTATTGATTGATTGACCCCCTTTTGAAGCCCACGGGGGGCCGCGTTCTGCTTGGTCTCGCTTTGCTGCCTCCATAAATTCTCCCTTGGCTAACATCTGAAGCCATCAGAGTTGACTCATAAGGAGCTGCCATATTGAGCACACAGTACGAGAAGGAAGTTGGCTTGGGTGGGTTTGGAGCAGATCTCATGGGAAGGAATCCTGGCGCGCACGTGAAGTGGGTGAACGAAAAGCAAAAAAACACCCCCAAGTCCGATTTTTACAAAGCAAAACGAAAAGGTTCCCCACCCTTTCGTAACCCGGCCCGATGCCTGAGAAGCCACTTGGATGTCCAACATCAAGGAGGAGATATGCCTAGAATGGGAGGATGGTAGGAGGAAACAGCTTTGTTTTGTGAAACCGTACGTGGATTGGGACGGCATATCTCCCTATGAGTCTCCTTGGGTTTAAAGATTTTCTCTCTGTGTGTGTTCGAACATCCTCATGGTGCACATCTGGTGAATCCATGCAAAAAGGCCTTTTTAGCAGTGGCGCCCAGCCTGTCAAGTGAGGACAATGTTGGGTCCTTGCCTCTTGTTTTTTTCCTCATTGGCTTCTAATTCAAGGCAGTTTTTGGTTCCTGAGGAAAGAGTTTTTGTTGATGAATATTTTAATTATTACCCTTTCTGCCGTACTTTTAAACTGTTTTGACAGAGGTCGCGGCATTAGTTTGTTTCAAGAGAAACAACGGCGCCGTGGCCTCTTGGATTTCTTTTGGCATAAGCTCTTCTGCATTACGATTTTCTTCTTCGTGGTTCTGAACCTGTGGACGGTAACTTGCAAAATCTCACACTGCAATGAATGTATTAAATCTTGATGGTGACACAATCCCTTTGCTTCTAAATGCATTAAAAATTCTTTGTTTTCTTTTTGAGTTGTTTTGACGCAGTGGTTGTGTACACAAAATTGCATTTTTGTCTTAATTTTTCTTGGTTTCAGCAGAATTTGCTCGTAATATTTTGTCAGGCGCCTTGTGTCCCTATATTAGGAGAAAAGTAAGAAATAACACACACATATACATACACACAATATATATATATATATATATACATACTGTACGGAGCAATGGTTCCCAGCCTTGAGTCTCCAGATGTTCTTGAACTACAACTCCCATAAATTCCAGCCAGCATAGCTAGTGCTGAAGGCTTCTGGGAGTTTTCGTTCAAGAACATCTCGGGACCAAAGGTTGGGAACCAATAATGTAGATGGTGGCATAGAAGCAAACTATCTGAAGAGCTCATTTGAAGACCACATATTCCCTGAATGCTTCAAAGTGATACTTGGAACGTCGTGCTCATAATCAGCCTTTTTGTTTAAGTTTGCCCCGAAGTTGGTTTCTGACATCTGAGTACCAATCGTGGTTTATGGATCCATGAGAGCTTCACACAAGCCACCATATCATACTGGTTTCATGGTAGCTTGAAGCAGCTAACTTCTAATAAAGTGACTTTTCTGTCCTGGCTTATGCAAACACTTGAACTCTCAAATATTTGAAAAAGCTTTTTAGTAAACTTGGGTGGGAATTGTTGATTACCTCTAACTTAAATGGCATTTAGAGAAGCATGGTGGTGGTGGTGGGGGACACAGTCCTTAATTAGAGCTTAGGAAATCAGAATTCTGCGGTCTTCATACAAATATATTCACAGCTTTATAGAAGATACCTAAGCTGTACACAGTAACATGCTGTGTTGTTTGGGATAACCAAAAAGAGGGGAAGCTCCTAAAATCTCACAACCAGCATTAACCACTGACTCTGGTGGTTTCACATACAGGTTTCACCAGGAAATGTTGCTAACTCAACATGCCTTTGATTAAAAAAAAAATCATAATAGTGACACCTTAGCCATACTGTATGTACAAACTGGACCATTTAAAGCCAGGTATTTAAAGCTGGTATTCTCTTGGGGTTACCATGCATGCAATGGAAATCGAGGAGACTGGCGCAGCAACTTCTCAAGTTGCTGCTGTGCGTCCAGGAGCACGACACACAACCAACTGGGCGGCTTGCCAAATCGTTATCCACAACCTTTCCTTCCACGCGGACATTTCTGCGCAAGAGCGGTTTTGGAAAAGGAAGCCGTTGCTCCCCTATTTCAACACATCTGTTTTGTTAAGAACGAAAAGGTCTTGAGGCAAATACAAATATTTATTTAATTATTTATTATTTCATTCATTTAAAATATGTTTACCCCGCCTTTCTTCTTAAAAAAGGATTCAAGGCGGCCGGCATCATTAAAAGACACGATGTAAACGCTAAAAACGGTAGGTGCGCAAATATTAAGAAGGATCAAACGTTTTCCGCCCTAAAAACAGGAACAGATTTTATTTCCTTGTGGGTTTTTGTGGATTTCGAATTTGGACTTTTTTTGTCCTTGACTCAGAAGGGTGGCTGAAGGTCCCAACCAACCTCAGTGGGAAGCTTTGCTCCAATACAGGCTGTTAACTAGGAACAACATTGTTTTGGTTGAATTCTCTCCCGGAAGTTAAGGCTGTTTGCTTTGAGAATGTGTGTGTGTGTGTGTTTGCGTCTGAAATATTTGGCTCCACAACACTGTTATGACTTGTTTGGCTCCCGGAGTCATATGAAACCAGAGTGAGTTGATGCAGCGTTTCAGGAAGCGACCGTATTATTAAAGTCCTTTCCTTGCAAAATCTTACATTTTCAATAACGAGGAGCCACAGCCGAGTGGCAGCCGCTGGAAAGGTCTGACGCTCTCCGATGGCTAAATATGGAATTGTGGCGCTTTTCCAACCCACTCTCACCTTTTCATGTTCCTTTCCTTACCTAATATCCCAGGAATGCCAGAGTGCCGTTGGGTATGGCAGGAAAAACTCTCTCTCAAGACCAGTTTAATAGGAGACACTTCATAGGAAACGCTTCCGGTGATCTTACAGGGAACCTGAGAAAGGAGTGTCACACCCGTTTTTCATTGTCATGGTGCGCCTGAAATTCATTTTGAAAAAATAAAAGTATTGGGGGATGTTTTAAGGCAATTCAATGGAAAATTTTATTGACTTCATTTTTAAAAAAACACACTCTCCTGTTAAGTTTTCTCAAGAGTGACTCAAAGGTATTGTTTTTGTCTTTTTTTCCCCACTGCCGTTTTGAAATCTTCTTTAATACCTGCAGACACTCCTTCGGGCCATCACAAGGACAATGTTGAAATGATGCTAGTTTTGCACTATTTGGGGCTTGTTGGCATTTTATTCTTCTGTTTTTAGTCCACGGGGCTTTTCCTACATTCTCAGATTCGTTATGTAGGTAACGGTGGTGCTGTTGGTTAGATTAGGTCTCTTAATACATTGGTGCCCCGCTTGACAACAATAATCCGTTCCGTTAAAATCGCTGTACAGCAAAATCGTCGTCATGCGAACAAAAAACCCATTGGAATGCATTGAAAAGCAGTTAATGCATTCCAGTGGGGAAATACCTCATCGTCCAGCAAAGATCGCCCATAGAGAACCACCGATCAGCTGTTTAAAATCGCTGTTTTGCGAAGCTTCTGTCCAGAAAACAGTCATTTTGCGAAGGGAAGCCATTTTGCAGAGCCAGAAAAATCACCGTTTTGTGAACAAATGGTTTGCGAAACAAGGACCTAAACGTAAAGCGAAAATCCCCCATAGGAAACATCGTTTTGTGATCGAAAAAAGTCATCATCAAGCAATTTCGTCCTTTAGCAGGGTAAGCGTCTAGCAGGGCACCACTGTAGTTTAATTT